AGCTGGGGGTACAAGCGGAAAGGGGGCGAAAAAAGAAGTCGAAAATATAGAATAAAAATTTTTTTTTCTTTTTTTAAATTTTTCCATCGAGACAACGATCTACAGCGAGATCCGTCACAACGAGACGCGATAAAGTGCACGCGTACCGAGCGAAAATTCAAAGTCGATTTTCTCGAAAACGAAGCCTCGAACGAAAAATTTTTATTCCATATTTTCGACTTCTTTTTTCGCGTAGAATCACCCCCTTTCCGCTTGTACCATCAGTTACCAAGCACCCTGTATAAAAATGTATATTAGAATGTGACTCGCGCTTTCATTCACGACGGTCACTTCAAAGTATTCAGTATGTGATTTATAAAGTTTCTTCCAGTAAGTTTCGATGGTATCAGAGAAATCATAATCCAATAGCGATCAAAGTACACGTTTTTGGCAATAAAACCCGATGTAAAAAGAACTTGCTCTATGTTTCCGTCGAATTTTCCTCGATCGTATCGTCAAATTAAAAGACACTTTGCACGTTCGATGCGTGTATCGCTGATTCGTATGAAGAAAGTAGTTTGCACGAATCGCAATGCCTAATCGCATCGAAAATAACGCGCCTGTGAAAAGTGCGCTTAACGTTCTAGAGGAGGAGTAACGTACGAGCTAACATATTCGAAGAGACAAGCATCTCGGTGCTCTCGTTTTTCTTCTCTTTTTTTTTTTCGCAAAGAGTATCACGCTAGGAGCGTTAATTTATCAAAACGAGGTAAAGCTGACGTTATCGCGGAGGATTCGTCCAAAGGACGAGAACAATAGCAAGCTGGCTTCTCCTACAGAGGAGCGGAGAAATCGGACAGAAATTCGTATCTTGACGATCTCTCGTGCCCCTGGCAATTTTTTCGTCTCTCGTGACGCTCGAATTACGCGGAAAATTCACAGAGGAAATTTCCGTCGTGGAAAGCGCGATTATCCTCGTTAGTGGAACATGAATTAGCATGCAACCAGCTTAGCGGAGCTCTCCGTGCGGAACGCGCAGAGAATGCGAATTTTTTTCGTCGATAACTGTATCCTTTCGTCCGTTAATCAAGTGTACGTGTTTTCAGGTGATTGATAACGGACTGAGCAACGATACGGACAGCTGCGACGATTTAACAAACGGTGAGTCACGCGCGTCATCGACGCATCTCTTCGTACTCCTTTCTGTTTCTTATTGTCGTCGTTTATTACGATACAGGCCCTTTTATTCCCATAAGTAGCCCTAACTGGCTGTAAAAAGCGGCGCCGTTGCAACCATAGGATAGGCGAGGAGCGTCGGTTCGCTTTGGTTTCATTCACCAAATCCCGCGGTGAAAAGAACGACCCGCTCGTACGATCCCCCAATTGCATTATGCTCCTGCCAACGGTTGCAACCCTGAATTTAGGACGCGCCGGATCCTACGATTCGATAATTTTGTTTGCGGCTTCTGCGTCGTATTTTCTTCTCCTTCTTCCACGCGAATATCGTTCCTTGATCGATCGATCGATCGAAAGAAGGAAAAGACATTTTTGTCGAAAAGAAAAATTAAGTCGGCCTTCCCAAAGGTTGATCAGGTGCATTTATATTATAATTTTATATATATACATTTTTTCTGTCTTTATACGTACGGAGCTTTCTTGGTAACTCTGCACAGCTTTACTTCCCAGCGCGTATTATTTACGGCACGTACAAAAATTTCGTATGCGGAGATAATACGCGGTACGATTAATAATTTTCGCATTTTCGACAAGGACGAATTTTTCCCCGTTTACGTCGCTGTTTGCCGAGATACAGAAGCCAAGTTTTCAAGTGGAAACGAAACCGCATGTTTCTCTTCGTATCGCGGACTGAACACGAATTCGATAACCCGTGGCACGCGCCACCAATTTCAATTTACTTTCGAGATATCGAGCTTGCAAAATTTCCCGATTTCTTGCGGAAGAAATTCCTCTGGAATAGAAAGAACAGGCGGATGAACTTGTCGCGATGATCGTGGCTCGTCTCGTTGCCTGCGTGACGATAGAAAAATGAATTTCACGCTGTCTTCCGTCGTTCGCTCGACGAGAAGACGAAAAGAGCATCGTTACGCAATTGGAAAATAAGTGGCAGGGGCAGAGGTCACGGTTTTGTCGGCGGTTCACGGCAAATCCGGCAAGCTGTTACGGCCCTGACTTTGCCCTTCGGTCATTATCGTCCGCTGGAGCGGTCGCCGCATTTTCTCACGCTACTTCAGCTGCTCCTTGCTCGCGGTGCAATGATCTCCCTCTCGTACCCGCACATCTGCCTCAAAATTACATCCTGACCGGGTCTCTACATTTTTATTTTCCCCCACCGCTGCATTCACCCTTGCCCCTTGCGCAGCCCTCGCCTATCTACAGCCGATCTTCCAGCCCAGACGCATCAAATCTGTGAAAAAGCAGCGGCCACGGTGCCTGGATTCGACGAATCGATCGATCGTCGCGAACCAGTCACTTTCGATAAAAAATTGATCGTGTCGCGTGGCGTTCCAAATTTGTCGACGATATACGCGTGTTTGCAACGCGTACAGTTTCCACATGACTCGCTCCGTTTTACTGTTTTGCCATTCGCTCGACGATCCTGTAGCGTTAGGCTACATACGAGATATACCAGCGTTGCTGTTACTTTCTTCTGGAATTCAGTTTTGCGTTTCATCATCAGATTCCATATCGGAGGATTTGTTTGTCCACGTAACGACACGGGCTGAGAGGAAATTTCTTTAGCGATTAAAAACGATGGCAATTGGTAAACGATTATCGCGAAAGTAACGTGTCCTTTCGATGTTCGTGTTTTCAATGGATAGAAATTATCATTATCAGGATCTGTTCGATCAATTTGTCAAAGTTAGCCGACGATCGATGAATTTATGCGAACGAAAGAAAGTGGTTTGCTATGTAAATTGGAAGAGGAATCGAACCAGTCGCGCTACCTTCTTTTCTGTCGATTTCTAACGTTTCCTTGTTTGCGTCTAACGTTTCTTTAGGGCGATCGAGGCTGCTGCTATGAAATTGTTGAGAAACGGGACAAGTATAGAAAGGGGGACGATAGATCGACAAAAGCGGTTCGATTATTCGCGTAGAACCGTTTCCGCGTTGCGAAATCGAACGCTTTACGTTTACGGTTCCGGGTTGACAGCGATCACGCGCTATTTACGTCCACGTAAATTGTATAATCGATTTCCGAACGAAAATCGCCGCGTTCTTGGAATCTGTGCGACTGGATCGTTGGCAAAACGTCGACAGACGTTAGGAAAGTCCGCAGCATCGAAGTCGAGTATAGAAATCGGCAGTCGACTGGTAATTCGAGGACGATCACGTGGGTTGACAGGTTGTTTTTCTCAGATCGCTGAGAGAAAAAAAAAAAACAAGATCGACGAAGAACGAAGTTCAGAGTAGAAAACGATTTTACGAGATGTTGGATTTTACTTTCGTTTCTTGGCAGCTCTCGCTGGAAGCGGTTCCGTGGTTTATGGTAATCGACGACGATGCCTCGCGAGGAACCTAATTCAGCGAATCCACAAAGGATCCGCTCGTTGGTAGCGCGAATTCGATCAAAACCGCGCGGTTCGATCAGTCGCGAGAGTTCGAATCCGCCCGCTTTCCTTTCTTTTCTTTTTTCGTTCTGTCGCGAATCACAGCTCGTTAGACGCGGAATTATTTCACGGTTTTCCTATATCTGCGTTTCGTTCTGACCACTGGGCGAATTAAATTAGGATCGAATTTAGAATTAGTTAGAGAGACCTTAAAATTTTGTGCGTGAACTTTTATCTCAAAGACGCGACTCGATGTATTGGGTTGGCAACTAAGTGATTGCGGATTTTTTCATTACCATCTAATGACAGCCCAGTAAAACCGTCTGAAGAACGGCGACTCACAATGGTTTTCCAAGTACATGAAAACTCGTCGAGGAAATTTACGAAGATTATTAGGCACGGTATATTGTATTGCAAGAGTATAGTCATTTGTTGGCTTACTCATATAAAATAAATGTACTCAATAAATGTATTCAATGATATCGTCTCGTTAATTTTCAGCAAGTCGCGCGTGGCGGACGACTGTACTCACGTAAGCGGAGCGTGACTCACTTTTGAAACCTTCTTCGCTGCGTGCGCGATCCTGCATTTTTTAGTATGCCAATAGCGTGCTCGCGCGAGATCATCCGGTAAGCTCCCACGCGCCCACGCGACGATCGAAGGAAAAAAAGGGAAAAGGCACGCGTTAATTGCGCAATACCCGCGACATTACGTCGTCGAACCATTCCTGGTGCTGCCTCGCCATTCCTCGCCGGTCTTTTGTTATGATTGTCCCCGTAACTGCTTTCTTCCCATGCTACTTAACCAGTTAGGCGTTTTTCACGAGTATACTCGTCATGCGTAAAGAGTAGTTGGAATTTATTGCTTAAATTGCAATTGAATAATCGCGGTGAAAAAATTAAGAAATAAAACACAAACTGTCGTTTCGTTGCAAAACTTGATTCTATTCGGTTGGCAAGTAAGTGAAAATTTGTCATTAGGTAGTGTTTAGTCGACCAGTCGCGGAGAAACGCGATCGCGAGGAAGTCGTAAATTCCCGTTACGATTATAATAATCGGCGCCTGTTGGGATAATAGGGATGGTTGAGTTAGTATAACACTGCAGTTAACAGGTTATAATATTTTATTTTCAACAACTGATTTCACCGATTATATAAATGTTCGGAGATACTTGTGGGTTAGGCTACGACGTCGAATTACAATGTCTTTTACAATCAGGTTCAAAGTGTTCGATTCGTATAGGTGTTAGCAACTTGTCTAGTGGCGACTAAGTTTTAAAACTCTTTTCGAGTTGGTGTTTGAATGTTGAGATTCTTTCCGAGTTAGTGTTTGACTCTTTCCGAGTTGATGTTTGAATGTTGACTCTTTTCGAGTTGATGTTTGAGTGTTGATTCTTTTCGAGTTGGTGTTTGAATGTTGAGACTCTTTCCGAGTTGGTGTTTGACTCTTTTCGACTTAGTGTTTGAGACTCTTCCCGAGTTGGTGTTTGGCTCTTTTCGACTTAGTGTTTGAGAACACTTTCCAAGTTGTGTTTGTGTCCCTTTTCGAGTTAGTGTTTGAATGTTGAAACTACTCTTTCCGCGTTGGTGTTTGACTCTGAGGTGGTAAATGTGTTGTCTAATGTGTGCTACGTTTCTCCTAATTTAGATGCGTGGAAGAAAAATCAGACTCCGATCGCCGGGATTCGAACCCGGGTTCCGAACGTTCGTAACCTAAGGCGCTAACCACTGCGCTGTCGTCCAACACTAGTTAGTGTCGAGTGATGGTATTTGCTGTTGAGTGCCGCCACAACTCTTCGAATTAGTGTTTGAATGGTGACTCTTTCCGAGTTGGTGTTTGACTCTTTTTGAGTTGGTGTTTGACTCTTTTCAAGTTAGTGTTCGAATGTTGACTCTTTCCGAATTGGCACGTGAACAGGCACGTGGAATTTTAAACCTCGTAGCTCCATAACGATAACGGTAGGAAAGACGAATCTGTGGCGTTTCGAAAACGTCCCAATGTCGACTATGAGAATATGTAACAAAAAAAAAGAAGAAAATGGAGCTATCCATTGGGAAATTTTCATATCGCTTTTACAGAACGTTTCGAGGTAGTCGCAAGGAACAGACAGATAAAAGCGCGGTACGTCCGCCTCGATACCGTGCCACTTTCGTCCGAAATATCTTTGCCTATGGTCCGGTATCTTCCCAGATATTCGAGAGTTTCCAATTAGACAGAACGTGCTACGTGGTAACGTAAAGGTTGTAGACGCGAATTGTTACGAAACCGAGGTGTCATTTTTGCAGCGCGTAACTCGGAATATGGTTGAATCATCGTGAAGAAGCAGATCTTCACGGCGATTAAATTGACAAACGATAGGGAACAGGTTTCGGGAATTCTCTAGGTCGTAACGGAAGAAAGTGCTGGAAGAAAGATGCGTTCCAGTTGGACATAAATCGCACCGCCTAGGCGATAGCTTTCCTCCTACTGGCGTTCGTTCCGACTGTTTCTAGGACGGCTGTTGTTTCGGAGAAACGTAAAAATTCCAAAACGAGCGAAAATTCCACGAAATCTTTACCAGAACATTTGCGGTGTAAAGATAATTTACGGAAGAATTTACGGGATAATGTCGCGGAAAGAAATTTCGTAAATTTGAATCGAGAAATCTCGTCTCCGGTAAACGATGGAAATTGCAACTACGACGTTTTCCACGTACAACAATTTTCAAGACGATCGTCAAAGTGCCATATCGCGGCGCGTCTTCGCTGGTATTTGTGAATCTGGTCGAATGGGTTCGTCGTTTTTCCAATCTGTTTACACGATGTTCGAAGACATGTTCGCGAAACGTAGTTCTCCGAACATATTTCTTCTATGTACACTGCAAGTACGTACGCACATATTTGCTCGCGTTAAAGCTGCGATCGTCGTTGATACTCATCCTCGTACAAAGATACCCGATAAACGGCGAGTTCGCAGGCAGCATCGATTAACTCTGTAAACGAACAACTTGCAATCTGGCAACTTGACGAAATGAATTTACAAAGTTACGCGATTGGTCTCTTGGAAATCGAACATTGATCCTGCTATTGTACGTCGACGCTCGTTCAAATGATGAAATTCACGTTTACGAAAGGCGAGATTGATCGGTGTAGTTTCCAAGAGATTTCATTTAGGATGATCACGAACGCCTAATAAATTACCACCAGTAGAAAAAATAGATGGACGCTGTAAAATCTTCGTAGACAGCGACTTAGAAAACAACGTGATATTTCGTGAAAATTCGCTAAAAATTATCGAACGTCTGTGTGGCGAGCAAGAAACTCGCGAGAAAATCGAAGAACGTTGGCGGAATGTTTAGCTAACGAGAACACGTCTTCGGTACACGGTAGTTTGCGAGTATTTGGTCAATCTCGTACAGTGTGACACGTCCGTTCAACTCGAGAATTCGGTTTAACGCGATAAAAAGCACATTGTTTGCGTCACATTGTGGACATAAAAGACAGGTACGTGGCGGCCTGCTCCGCGTACTATATCCGATTAGCAGGTACGCGAAGCCCTATGCAAAAGTATATAGAAGTTGGCTGTTTGATACGGTTGTTGGCCGGAAATGCTTCAGTGCGATCCGACGCGATGTGCGAGGAGGGTTACGTGAGGGAGAGAATCGCTTTGTTGGAGGGTGAATAAACAACTGACTGGAAAAATTTATTATCATTCGCCGCGCTTCAGCTTGTTGTCGAATTAAACGGTTTTCTAGAAACCACGATCTTTTCATCTTGTCTCTCGTTCCGCCATCCTCGTCTTTCCTTCCTTTTCGCTGCGATTCTTCGCGCGTCCAACAGCCTTCTTCTTCGATCGATCGTACGTTTAATACGTTTGCAAATACATCACGATGTCTTTCAAACATCTTCCCTTACACGCTGTACCGTCGAAACCGGTCTGTAAACATTAAACGTTGGGACGTTTTCATTTTTCCAAACATTACGTAAAACGATAAGAGTGAAGAGTGAAGAGCAACGAAATTAAAAGATAAAACAATCGTTTCGTTGCAACTTAATTCGATATCGTAACAGTCACACGTACTCTGTGTTCGTCGAGTATACTCGTCATCGTCATTGCTTTTCACCACACGTTTTATTGGGTACACACTTTTTCAAAGAGATCGTAACTTGCTAACTGGTTAAATTAAACACCTAGCCATTTGTAAACACTTACATGCGCCATTTGTGTATTTCTTTCGCCACTTTATCTGCTCTTTAACACTATGACGACTGATGCTGCTGCGTTCACGTCGTGTGAGTGTTCACTATCAGCGTACGATATAAATATACAGGGTGGTTGGTAACTGGTGGTACAAGCGGAAAGAGGGCGATTCTACGCGAAAAAAGAAGTCGAAGATATAGAATAAAAATTTTTCGTTCGAGGCTTCGTTTTCGAGAAAATCGACTTTGAATTTTCGCTCGGTACGCGCCTCGTCTTTATCGCGTCTCGTTATAACGGATCTCACTGTAGATCGTTGTCTCGATGGAAAAATTAAAAAAAAAATTTTTTTATTCTATATTTTTGACTTCTTTTTTCGCGTAGAATCACCCCCTTTCCGCTTGTACCACCAGTTACCAACCACCCTGTATATTTATATCGTACGCTGATAGTGAACACTCACACGACGTGAACGCAGCAGCATCAGTCGTCATAGTGTTAAAGAGCAGATAAAGTGGCGAAAGAAATACACAAATGGCGCATGTAAGTGTTTACAAATGGCTCGTACTTTTTTATCATACATTTCTTTAGTTATTAGGTAATTGTACGCTTTTACCTTTCAAATATCCCAAAATAAACGTAACTTAGACCACGTTTTCACGTTTCCACGTAAACGTTAGATTTCAAACTAAAGTAATCGATCGTTATGGTGTTAATCGAGCAAGATTTTTCAATACGTAAGATATTTTCTTCTGCGATAGCGTTTAACAATGTGTTTTGCTTTTCTTTTTCTCTTTCTAGGACAAAAAATGGCACCGGTATTGGGTGTACCACCTCCTCCTCCACCTGCTCCTCACATGGGACCAGATGGCTTAATCTTACCGAGAAAACCGTACAACCCTTACCTAACCTCCAGCAACCATAAGGACCTCCGCAGGGAATTATTATTCAATCAGAAAGTGTAAGCTTCTTGTAAAATCCAATAGCCTCGTCTCTAAGACCTGTGTCAATAATACCTGGTAACAGTACCTGTAAACAAAATTTCTTTTTTCTATAACCGTCGTTTATAAAAATCTGCACACTTTGCTTGATTCGTACCGATGCATGTCATCGGGTTAAAAAGTCCAATTTATCCTGTATCAGGCATTAAAAGTAAATTTCACTAATGTCGTAACACGATATTCCATATTTTGTCTGCTAAAGGATAAAGGTACACGATTTATGCGTAATTTCGCAACTCGTGATAGAGCTCCGTTTATACGAACCTCGTTCATTCAATGGCGATTTTAATTAGCATCTGATTTAATAGGGAGATCTCGTGGCCGAGTCCGCACCAACCGAACAGCAGCAGCTGCTGTGGCGCGAATTATAAATACACAAATAGAGGGAAAAGTGGATAGGTTATTACTGTCGTAGAAAGTTCGATCGAACAAACGCTACGTATTGATCGGATAAATTCGTAGAAATAAAGTTCTATAATCAAAGATTTGTATCTTAAAAAAGGAAAAAAAAGAAATAGACGAGCGTTCGCCAACTTTCGAATGGCAGTGTATTTTTATTTTATACTTTTAAATAACGCGGCAAAAGGAGAGAGAGACGCGTGGCGGTCGATGGCGCACACTTCGCACGCCTATCATCGAGAAAATCGTTTCCTGCTGGCGTATGCGTTCTAGGCCTATACGATACACGTACACGCACATTATCTACGTGTCCGTGGCTGTGACTCATTCCCAGGCACTTTTACGGTTTAAGCAGGGCCGCTATTCGATTGAAAGGTTGTTGGCGCGCGTTTTTCTCATCGTGGCAATTTTCACGCGAGGCCCACCAACCACGAGGCGACGAGGCACGCTTGCCGCGCGTAATTAGCTAACCGCATCGGTTTTCACTTTCTTTCAGCGGCAAAAACGTGCTGAATCAGAAGAGCGAGCTGCAGCGAGCACTCGAGAAGCAGAGGGAAGCTGCCTCTAGGAGAGAGGCTGAAAGGAATCGGGAAGAGAATTACAAAGACGATCCAAGAACCGCCTTACAAAGGGCCATCGAGCAAAGAGCGAAGCACATCGAGATGGCAGTCAGTGTTTCTCCCTCCTTTCTTCCTTTGTTTTTTTATCTTTCTTAAGGTTATTCGGTAAATTGAAACAGGTCCTATAAATCCGTGGAAAGATACATAGAGGTATTTTCCAGTTAAATAGTTGAGTTATTACTCAACTATACGTTCATTGTTATTTTTCTTTTCTTACTGTGAGAATAAAGGTTAGACAGTTCTTTAAGTCCAATTTTGTTTGTTGCGATTACGAATGTAACTTGGAGTTTGTCCTTAGTTATCAATTTTAACGCGTCTGATATTTGAAAAGAAACTGCCTTTTATATTCGAATAATCGAAGAGAAAAGGAAGGACTTCGTTTGAAAGAAGTGTACTGGTATTATTAGAGGAGTAAAATTTTGGTTTTTCAGCTGGAGCAGTCGCAACCGACGACGGAACCACCGAGCAACCTTTTGGTAACAGCGAGAGCGAAGTTGAGACCGCGCACAGATTCACAATGAAGTTACGTCAAAGGAGACAAGAAAAGAAAAGAAACGAAAGAGAGGCAGAAAGAAAGGTCGAACGTAAAACGTGACACGTACGCTGTCGCCCGAGTGAGCAACGATCAAATTGCGTTGTAACGCGGACTTTTGTCACATTTTGTAATTTGACCATGTACATATTATATGTTTAATCCGATAAGAATTCGTTAACGGCAAAATAAGATTGTACGAGTCTTCGTTGAAGATAAAGTATTGTAACGAGGCATGTTAGATAACGCAGAACCGAAAAACAGTGGAAAATAGGTCGTGTCTGTGTATCGATACATTTATTCATTTAAAGAATATTCATTTGTGCGTTTTTCGTGCTAAAAGTAGATAATTGCCTCGCTCTTCCAAAGTTCTCAGAGAGCGCGGATGCGCGCACTAGCCGATTCATTTCGTCTTCTAAGCGACGTTAGTCTAGTTAGATAGTACATACAACCGTAACCATTGTTTTCCATATCTGTGAAAAACACGTGAATCGAAACGATGTGTATGTATCCGCGCGCATAGCCGAGTCAGGTCTTTTCAAACGATAAGTCTGCAGATCGCTGACTCAAACGTCGTTGTAAAACCGATACTTGGTTTATTAGTGGCGTATATAGCACTCGTTCAACGTGTAACTTGCTTACGCGTGTCAGCGACGCGGTATGATGCGTTGTGTCCTCGTTACTTCGCCTAGTTATCCGAGACACAAGGTGTCGAGGTTTGCAACAGATTGGCCTTTATAGAGCGCCTTGACGAGAAAATAGTTTACTTGGTCGTTCGATACTTTGTTACGTGCTCGAGATTTTTCAGAGCCTTCACATCTAAGGACTAATACCGTTAGAGTAATTAAGAGACCAGTCATGAGTAGCATAGAGAATTTTAAAACGAATACATATGTGCAAGATGTATGTGTGCGACGTTAGTTTATTATCGTGCCTGAATTTATACCAAGACTAGACCTGAATACGAAGTACAGAGATAGTGTTTTGCCACAATAGAATTGGAATAGTAGAATCGATACCTTGGGACCATCGTTCACTCGTAATCAACTACTAGCAGTTAAACGAAAGAAACATTCAGTAGGTTGATATAGCAGCATTTATTAAACTCCACTGTTTATAATTCATAAAATGAATAAAATATATATTGTTGCAATCAAGGTATTATAGGAACGTGATAGTACATTCGAATTTAACAAGTTTTCTATTGATAACAGTGCATCACCATACGTCTTCTTCTACTGTTTCAGAAATAGAATAAAGATAATCGTAATATTTGGAAATAATCGTAATAAAAAATTCTACGAAACACTAAAGAATTAATTAAAGAGTTAATAAGTTGACGTGTAAATGTAAACAGAAATTGTAATGTTATCGCGTTGACTGCATTAAACTTCGATTTGTGCAAACTAATCGTAATATTTAAAAATATTATCATATTGGAGCAATTAAAATATTAAATATATTTTATTCAACGTCAATAATAATATATGCCTTTTTTCATCTTCACAAATGTGCAGAAAAATAACAACAAAAGAGCGTTGCTCGCAATACTAGCACAACCTCGATTATTCGACTATTCGTAAAAACATTTTCCTTTATTCATAGTCCAATATTAGATTAAAAAATAAAATAAAAAAATATGTAACTTTTCCATTATTTTTAATATTTCACAATGTTTTGTCTTATCACCATTGTATAGTGTTTCTATCGACAAAGAGAAAAGAATGAATGAGATGTATAATTAAATATCGCGTTATTAATAACATTTACCGTCAGTGTGACTTTACATAAATCAACTTGTACATTGCCAGATAGAAGATATAATGAGCACACATAACGCGATTCGAGAACAATAGACATATCAGTAATCATCTCCACGAGAAATAACCTCCTTACACGTTGGACGTAGAACGAGGGTATGCTCGAACTGAGCAGTATAACATCCTTTCACATCAACTAAAGGTGGGTAAGCCTCTACTGCACCTTTGTCGCATAGATCCTTCAAAGCCATTTGATATTTCACGCAACCAACACGATCTAACCACCGCTTGCAGAAAGCCAAAGTACCTGTTTGTTACAAATATACTTACTTTACTATTGCTTTATTGGTTTTTCGATAGAGAAGTTTAAGTTAGAAATCTGTTAATAAATCGATATATACCGAAATGCTTGTTGATAACATTGAGTAGGGATTTGCTACTTTGCAATCTCAATGGGACGAAACCGGCATCAAAGCACTTCATGTAATGAGAACAGTCTAGATCATCGTGAACGATTCCTCTCCCAGTAGATCCGAAAGTTTCAATGGCATAAAATTCATTCTCTTCCATTCTAGTAGCTTCACCACCTTTAACTATCGGTACAGTTTTTCCAGCGTGGATACGATATGAAGCGATTGAATGACCGTTAAGATTTCTTATGGATTTTACCTAAATATAAATCAGTGATAATGATCTATGATAAAATCGACAGATAATAATCTGAAAAAGGTAACAAACATACTGGGTAAGTTTTGCCATCTAATTCAACTTCGTACGATTCCATAACTTCTTGAATCGCAGCTCCAACATCGCATAGTTGAACGTCGATACCAGCAGCTTTAATTCCAGTATTTGTAGCATCACGAACCGCTTCAATGAGCCTATCGTATTTCGGATTGAATGCTAATGTAAATGCACAGTCGATGATTCGTCCGTTAATGTGTGTACCAAAATCTATCTTGGTGACATCATCGTACTCCAAAACGGTGGGATCGCCAGCATTTGGAGTGTAATGAGCAGCGCAATGATTTCGTGAACAACCAGTTGGAAATGCTAGTCCAGCTTTTAGCCCATCTTCTCCTATCAATTTTCTTGCTGTATTTTCCAACTCGTTACAAATTTCTATCATTGTCATCCCAGGTTTCACCTAAATTAATCATAATTTTATATAAATTGTTTAATTCGTTTTCTTTTTATAGCTATTTCATGGATATCACATACCCATTTCATAATATGTTTCCTAGTTTGTCTATGAGCTTCAGCTGCCTGCCTCGCTTCGTTATAAATATCATTATGCATTCTATCAAAAGCACGTGCTTCTTCGCTAGAAAAACGATCCTTAGCTGTCCTATCATCTACTCCTGCAGCAGAGGGATGATCCATTATTTGCCCTATCGGAAAGTTCCCATCTGGGAAAAATTCTGATACGGGAATAGTCGGAGGATCTGTTTGTTGTTTAGGACCTCCAGTTTTTCCACGTGATTTGCGTTTCTTCTTTTTCTTCTTAGCATCTTCTGTTTCTGCATCATTTTCTGTTGCATCTATATCAGCTTCTACAATGTGACATAGATTAAATATTATATACATAAATGATTGTCTTTCATACAAATTTGGAGATAAGTTACCTTCTATATTATCTTGTTTCGTTTCTTCTCCTTCTGGAACATCTGCGCTAGCTTCACCAGCTCCTAAAACATATTTATGAAGGCAGGAAGATCAGTGCTGTGCATAAAAAGATAATTCCGTCTCAAAATTATCTTTAAACACAAATATTTTGTATGAAGCAAACTTCAGCCGTGAGATAACAGAAAAGCAAGACATGTGCATAGTAATTTCCAAGTTGTGTCGCTCACGGGCATGTTTAGTAATAATATATGTTGTTCATTAGTTACCCTGTAAATACGAAATTACTATATAGAAGTATAGGAATAACATCATGAAAGAGTTGAAAGAAAAGGTTATTGCATGTGAACCCGTGTTTATTTTCAAAAATAAAAAGTCGGAACCAGTGCAAGACACGCTAATAATCCCCAAATACGCATAAACGACTATACACCCAAAACCCAACAATTTATAAAGTAACGAACCAGCCTTCTTCTTCTTTTTCTTCTTTTTTTTCTTCTTCGAAGCTTCTACTGCACCAGTTTCATCTTCTTCGTCAACGATTTCGTCTTTTTCCTCATCTACTAATTTTTCGGCAGATTTGCCGACCTCGTCCAATACGGCAGCCATTTTCAAGAGGAAACCAAACAATGCTATACCATTGACGATGGCAAACTACGTAGATATAACACCAACAACACCTTATGCAATTTTGTACCTCCTCCTCTGAAATACCGACCTCGAAAAATGCAAGGTGTTCTCCACGCCCTCTGCATCTACTACGACGAACGTCAAAATTATATTTACCTACAAACGAAATATGTACGCATATAAACATTGGCTAAATATGTATGTACATTTATTGTAAGCACGAATCGAAGCTCTTATCGTAGCTGGTCAGAGGTCTATAACCGCAGATCTGTCAAAAAGCTATTCCTGGCTGTACCACTTACAGGAGTAGCAAACATAGAAAAATGATGGCAGCAAGTTGCCTATCATTTTCTAGGCGCGAAATCCAAGACTCTAACACTTGTCTCTTCTGATCGTAAGGATTTTTGCTCTCGAGCTATACGTTACAATCGTCGTCGCTTAGGATATACGACCGACTCGTTTTATGATATGAACCATGTCATATCAACCATTCACTTTTTCGCATCCCTAGAGATAGTCTAGAGAAAAGATGTAAAACGAACAATGGACGATTCCAGCTGGCATCTCGAGAAGATGTGGTGAGCGAATTATTTTGAACAAAACAGGCCGTTCATTTTGCTCAAGTCTCCGTGTTAGTCAGACCAATAACAAAGGGAAACATCAGGTTTCAACGAGTGGAAAAGCCCGCTCATCCAGGTAAGCATTAAATACAATGACATTATAAGGGATTTCATATTTTATGTTCTAAAATACCGACTACGAAAAAAATCTTTCTTACCATTGACCACATTTGTTTATACATCGACTAAGGTCAGGTCAGAGAGGAAATTTTCTCTCTCCTCAGGTATGTGGTCAGATGACTGTTTTAAAACGTAGAGGGCGTAACAAAACTTTTGCTTTTTTTTGGACGATCGGTAGTTTAGAACATATAACAAAGTCTTGTAAGATATCAGATCTATTCCGTATCTCAAATGTGATATCATCGAGTCCCATAAGATGCAATGTCTATTCTGTGTCTCATTTGTGTCAGAGATCTATGATTTTGACCACAAATAAGCCTCGTTTGTGTTAGAAGCAGTTAGAAGTTTCGTCATTCATGATGAATTAAGAAGTAAATCCATCGGTAAAACAGTACAGTACGTCTCGAATTACTTCTTGCCGTTTGTGTCGTATTCGTCGAGTCACGTCACACATAGTTTCCGAAGAAAATTTCAACGAAAATGGCATTCGCTTGTGGTACATGTGAAACACCGGGCTGTAAAACTATAGCCAGCCTCCAATGTCCAACTTGCCTGAAAATTGGGATACAGGGCTCCTATTTCTGTACTCAGGTAAGCACCACCTTATATATTTGAAGGTTAGTTCAAGAGATAAATACCAGGTATTTAAATATACCTCGTATGGTATTAATTAATAATAATTAAGATCATGTACATTTTATTTTTGAAACGACTATAGTATCATTCTTAGTATATAAGTATCGTTGTTAATATATTTTCGTAAGAAAATGAATAAATATCGTGTTTTAATGATAAAAGTTTATAAAAGATCTTTCGAGATATTTTTGTTTATTTATTATGATACTTTTTTATCATTTTAGTATGTTCACATTTTGTTGCAGGATTGTTTTAAACGAAGCTGGAAGACACACAAAGTCATTCATCAATTGGCGAGTGAGTTTAGCAATTACCAATTACGTAAAGTATAGATGCACTAATGCAAGATAAATTTATAATTATAAGCTAGAAAAATGTATATTTTATCAAATATATATACGTATTTAAATGATCGCGTTTAAAGTGCAAAAATACTGTTTCTAATAGAAGGAATAGGTGGAGATAAATCTTCGAACGAGTATAACCCATGGCCTTTCTATCATTATACCGGTAAATTACGTCCTTATAAGAGAGAACCTCGTCGGGAAGTACCCGAACATATTAAACGTCCAGATTATGCTACACATCCAACTGGTTTGTCCGTAAGCGAGCAATCGGTACGAGGTTCTGCGCAAATAAAAATCCTTGATGACGAGGAAATCGAGGGTATGCGAGTAGCTTGTAAGGTACAACGATTATTAAAAATATTAAAATATCTTTTTTAACACGTTGATTGACGACTACTCCGATTGGAGTGATCGCGTTAATTTTTTATACTTAGAAAATGTTCTTACTAATTTTATACAAACATATTTTTATTTTCTTTTAATGAAGAAGAGAACATAAATGAGAATTACTCCTATAGCTTGGACGAGAAGTCTTGGACGAGGCTGCACGTGCTTGTGATGTAGGTGTTACTACAGCGGAGATAGACAGAGCAGTTCACGAAGCTTGTATCGAAAGAGACTGCTATCCATCTCCGCTGAATTATTATCAATTCCCAGCTAGTTGTTGCACTTCTGTTAACGAAGTGATATGCCATGGTATTCCCGATACTAGGCCGCTTGAAGATGGAGATATTTGCAATGGTATTATAATGATATCTTTTTAAATACGGACTTAATAGAAGCACGATAACATTATAATTCTCGTTTCTTACAGTTGATGTAACTGTATATCATAATGGATTTCATGGTGACTTAAATGAGACGTTTCTAGTCGGTAGTGTAAAACCCGAAGTGAAAAAATTAGTCGAAGTTACGTACGAGTGTTTATCGAAAGCTATAGATATCGTACGGCCTGGTGAAAAGTATAGGGAAATTGGAAATATTATTCAGAAACATGCACAAGCGCATGGATTCAGCGTAGTACGTAGTTATTGCGGCCATGGAATTCATCGTTTATTCCACACTGCGCCAAGCGTACCTCATTATGCGAGTAAATATCCTGCTTATAATTGACGCTTTAAATCAACTGTTTTAGCTTAACTCGTTTTTGTTTTGTTTAGAAAACAAGGCAGTAGGTGTTATGAAACCGGGACACTGTTTTACTATAGAACCAATGATATCTCAAGGTACATGGAGAGACGAGATGTGGCCTGATACTTGGACAGCAGTTACCGCGGATGGTCAATGGTCGGCACAATTCGAACACACGCTATTAGTTACCGAAACTGGTTGCGACATTCTTACGAAACGACTCGCAAATGATGGCAAGCCGTGGTTTATGGATCGGTCATAGTAGTATTCTATCGTAAATTACCGCCAGTTTATGTCATCTCAAATTTTGTGAATACGCAATCACTATACTGCTTAAAAAATCTTTGTAATTTTATTCGTGCGAGGTTTGTTTTACTTTCTTCAGGATTGAATCCCCTTCCTCGTAAGTACTGTTAGTATGATAGTATTAATTCCGGTATTTTTTACTGTATGCCTGTTGTATTGGCTAATTTTGTAAAAATGAAAAGACGAGACGAGATGATCGAAAAGATAGAATATCTGTAGATTTTCGTTTGTAACCAAAATGACTCATGTACCATATATTGGATAGATTACCTCAATGATACATATGTACATATATATAAGTGTAATTCAGATTGGTGATGCGCAATAATTGAAATAAAATATTGATTCTTTAAATCAATGGCAATATCTTTTGTCCATTTTTTACAACGAAGTACGAGTACATCGACAATAAATAACATTAAATAAATTACTATCCTTCACGCGACTGTTTTCAATGTATCGTCGACGAAAATTTAATAAATATTCTAATTATAACCACAAATCGTAATCTCAAAAAAGAAAGTTTCGTCGGCGTACCTTGTAAAAACAGTAAAAAAATTTCCCGCTTTATGAGAAACCCTATTCATTGTCTAAATTACACAGAAATCCCCGTAAAGATAAGTCTGATCGATAAATAGAACTGTAATAAATATTTTCGTCCAATTATATATACAAAATGATTCGCAAGAAAATGTTATACTCCGCTCTTAGGGTTCAAACGCGATCCAAATTCAGCGTTCGGTCGATCATAAGACGTTCTTCCGTCGAACGACCCGTTTGCCTGCGAATTTCCAGCATCCGCTTCGTCGTTTTCGTACTCGTACTCGACTTCTGTATTTTCTTTCGGTTCGTCGTTCTGTATCTCGGTATTGCTATAATCATTTTCATCCGGCACCATAATTCTCAATGGTCTTTTGTTACTATACGGATTTTGTCGTTGACGTTGCTGTTGTTGTTGCTGTTGTCTGTCGTATTCTTTCTGCCGTTCCTCGTATTGTTGCAGCTGTTGTTCGTGTTCTTTTTGTCGTTGTTTCTGCCGATTCTGAACTCGATCTTGATAATAATTCTGATCATAATGACCGTCGTCGTTGATTTGCTCGTTCGTTTTGTATTCTTCGTTCTTGTGATTAGGAGGCATAGTTTCATCGGTCTGTACATTTTCCTGCTGTTGTTGTTGTTGTTGTTGTTGCTGTTGTTGTTGCTTTCGCAATTGCCCTATCAATTGACTGTTAACGTTTCCAGCAGCTGCCAGAGCTGCTAATTTTTCTGCAGCCTCTCGATTAGGCAGCGTCGTGTAAAATTGCGTGGACATTGCATCGTTGTTTGCCACTTTGTTAAAGTACGTCGTCTGATCCTTTTGATTGTTGGTTTGCTCGTATTCGATGTTATTTTCCAATTGTTCGTTTCCATCGGCGATATAAGCGAGATCCTCGTTCTGTTGCAGGCCAGCGTTCTCTTCCTCGTTCAGAGGTGACTCCGGTTCTACGTTGTAATTCGTATTGACTCTGCCAGCAGCGTAATCTTGGTTGAATAAGACCTGCTGTTGTTGTTGCTCCTTGTTATCTTGCTCGTCGTAATTGAACGATTGCATCTGGGGCTGCGAGAAACCAGTTACGCCGGTAGGCTGGAAGAATTGACCGAGTTGCTGCTGAAGTATGTGTTGCTGAAGTTGTGGCTGTTGACCTGGAATCACCATCGTTTCGATTTATCTTGTTATCTGAACGATGCGCTTCGGCCAAATCGATGTACGATATAGATAAAGGATAGCGCATTCTATTTCTCTTTACTATACCATTTCTCGCGTTTTGAAAAAGAAGAGGCCACTTTCTCCAACGTATTCTAATTTAATTTGCGGTAACGCAAGATTTAAGTTAACGATACGTAAAACTTTTATTTCTCCATTTAATCGCAACGAAGAGGAAAAGAAACAAGATTTACTGGACTTTGGACTGTAAAAGTGACGCTAAAAAAGAGATATCGTGGATGAGAATCATACCTGTTTGATACTGCTCTGGCATTTTTTGGGGAAAGCTGTTTAGAAGGTCGTAAAGTTGAGTGGCTGAGAGCGGAGGACCAGCTGGTGCCGGATGACCAACGTGTAGATCAGGAATTTGTTGATTTATGATGTAAGGAGTCTGAGCAGCGGTACCAGGGAAACCAACGTGAAGAGAACTGTGAAGATTCGTTTGCATAGGTAAGTTGGGCTGTCCGAGTTGAATGTTCGTTCCGATAAGACCTATATTCGAAGCTGGATGATTATTCAAGTAAACATCGTTCGTTTGTAAGTCAGGATTCACTAATGTCGAAAGTGTTGCAAATTCCGGGGGCAAGAACGTTGGCAGAACAGTTTGATACTCTTTCTGACTGATATCGTTACTTTCGGTCACTTCGTACTGGTGTTGCACCGGTGTCGGACTGGTTACAGTCTTCTGGGGTGTCAAACTCGTGATGGTCGCAAGATCGAAATTAGGCAACAAGGAACCTACGAAGAGAACACGATTGAAAAAGAAAAAGTTAGAAGAGATAAAAATACATTTCTCAGACAGACTTCGATATTATTTAACGCTATTTAAATACGATATTTAATGCTAGAATTTCAATCCACTCGTAGTGCGTAAACTTGGAAAAATACTATGCATCGATAACAATTAACGTATACGTATATCGTGTATACTACGATCGCGTTTCTTTTTCGATAAAGACTAATCGATATCGTTTCTAGTAATCGACAAAATGAAAAATCTTAGATCCGTTCGTTTTGCCAAGCGTTTGGTTAGCGGATTTCCATTGTTTAACTGCTAAAACATTGAAGCTGAAAATAACGTAAACCAACCGTGTGGATTAACTTTGTAGGTAGGATCGGTTGGCTGTTGACGCCGAGACGTCTCGTCTGCGTTCGCTTCGTTATTGAAAGGCTTGTCCATGGGACTGAGATTCGGCGCAGGAATTGTATGAATCGGTCCTTTGTCGTCGTCGATGCCACCCCTGTGTGTCGGTGGTAGAACAGCGGCTTCCGGCCTGTACTCCGGACTATATTCCGGCATTTTGTTCACGGCATGGAACTCCTTAACAGGTGGACGTTGCGGAAGAACCGCGTGATTATTTAGTGGAGCTCTTATCGGCATTTGATTCTTCCAAATGGTTGGTGGCACGTTGAACATCGGTGGTCTGCGAATTCTTGAATAAAAGAACAAATCGGAAAAAAGTCACGTTCGATGAAGTAACCAGGTGTTCGATGAAATTTCCGACATTCACCTATAATTAGGCGGTTTCTGGGACATTCGTTTGGGCGGGAAGTTTCCATTTATGTGCATCGTGTTGCCCACGGAGATTCTATGGGCGATCGGCCATGATTTCTTGAACATCAGTTTAGGAGGCTGCGGAGGCGACAACTGGGGCCTTCTGATCTTGTACCTGGCTTCGACAAGGCAGACACACACGACCAACAAACAGCACAGCCAATTTGTCGTCTGGAATTTGGTTAATAGAACGCGCCCGTTATATGTATTCCATGGGAAACAAAAAATTGGCAGTCGACCAGTTGTCATCGTAAAAGGTAAGTGGGTCTTCTTCTCTTATCAATATTTATCATCTATATCCTCTATTTTACGGAGGTTTTTCGTTAAAGAAATTCAACGTTCCATTTAATTTTCACGTACGTAGGTCATATGGATCTTTGCTGTTTCACTAAAGTTTCAAGATATTATTTTTTGAGAATTTATTTGGATCGGGAAAGCGGACGCGTTAAAACCGGAAGTCCAGGCCACTCTTACGGTATTCGCATATCAACACGTGCACTTAGTTTCATTCTTCGCGGTTATGGTACGGGTAGAGTCAACGCGTGCGATGTAATACGAGCCAGTGATCCTCAAATAAATAAAAGATAAAAGACGACAAGATTTCTTCGTTTTCTTGAATTACCAGGTATATTAGAGCGAGCGATTAGCATGTCGTTAAAACGAATCTAATACAGCAACATATGAAATATGAAAAGTAATTTAAGCAGGTTCGATTCGACGTCAATCGGAGCTACGACGAGAAAGGAAATCGCGTGTTTCGATTACTATTCCACGGCGATAAAATTGAATCGTTCGCTGAAATACGTTTCAAAGCAAGTGCTTTGGTATTCAACGCCAGCCGCTCAACTTGTTACGTGGAGCGTCGATTTGAACGGTCGTAACAATGACCGTGACAATGGTATCGTTAACCGATTACATCTATAGTTTGAGAGACGCTGGTACCGGCAATGAAACCGAAGAGAGAAGTGCCGCGAGTTGTTAGCGGACAAAGTGGGACGGTGTGCCACATCGACGTAGGAAAAGCGAGGGTAGTAAGAAGCTAAGAGAGCAGCGAGGTCGAAAAGAAAATAGCCGAGCATGGAAACGACGATAGTCCGGCTCGAATGGATTAGGAACGACGATGGTGGATGCAACCTGTTGCGTCGCGACGATTATACTTCGTTTTCGCTCGACTCGCGTTTCCGTTTGGTAATTTCGTTTGCCAAGCGCGCGTTATCGACGATGGAAGAAGATTCCCCGTGAAAGGTTGAACACTCCTGTCTTTGTTCTTAACATCTGATTTACAACGTTACAACCGATAAATAGGAATCCACGAAGTAGTTTAATTCGGCGAATGATCGACGATACTTCTGAACGGATATCGCGATGAAATAAAAATTGAGAGAGCTTAATTTTACACGCATCGATAATATTTAGAACGTCCGTGATTGGCTCGTAGTTTTTGTATAATTAGACGTCTTCCATATCTCGCGGTACTTTTTCAAAAGGAGAGGAGGGAAACGTTTTCTCGAAGATGAAGGAAGAAACATATGGCTATTTCCCGTTAATGATAATAATCAGACATCGACCGAGTATCCTTTTTTTGTCATATAACGGAACTAGTTTCTACGTTGGGTAGACAGGCCTATTAACTTGATTTTTCAATCGTAGCGTAGTTACAAGCGCATACCTGTATATTCGTGCATCGTAATACAATGTGAAGGATACCGTGACATAACTAATGCTAGTGAAATTGGCAAAATTGTATAGCAATGGGAAGAGCTCTAGTTAATCGAAGAAAATTAATTCGCCTGTACGAAGGAAAATTGTTAAAGTGAATTATACGATGATATACGTTCCGCGAATAAGAGATTATTCGACTACAGAATTCGTAAGTATAAAATACTCGTGTCTTATTTAATTACTATACTAGAGAATTATTTATTTTAACGTTAGAAGATTTTTAGAATTATTTCATTGTTTCATAGCTCGCGTTTCTTACAAATTAGAACAATATAATACACAAAGTTCATTTTTACAAAAGTTTCCATGCGAAAGTTAGGATAATCGTTAAGAAGAGTCTAATGTATATTTTTGTAATTTCAATCACAATCAGAAATGTCGATAAATCTCTTGAATTACAGACGATTCGATGTACGCGTAAACCACGCTCGACTTCGACCAAAGGAAGTTACGTTGTTTTCGACGAAACCATCGAATCGTGCGAAATTTTGTTGCTGTTAATCCGAAGATGAAGTTTCTTTAAGAACGAGGTACTAGAGAAAATATTGGTAAACAATAACGATGCTAAAAAGCCTGACGTCTTACCTTCATTGTTTCGCCTTCCGAGCAAGAAGTTCCTCGAACGAAGAAATAATAATTTTCAGATTTATCACCTGCGCAACTTGGCGTTCTCACTGGAAGGAAAAGACGGGAAAACGATAAAAAATACGAAAAGAATATGCCGGAAGTTACGGCCACAAATAATCGAACACGAGTTAACGCGCGCGATGATTGGACATTGAGGGAGCACTGTGTGTTCTGCACGCAATTAGGTCATTGTCCTTCATTTATACTCGCAACCGGCGAACGTATCATCGAAGGCCGAAACGCTGTGCCTCCTACCTTACTCTGACGGATAACAGCTGCTTCGAAATGCGGAACGTAACCGGGAAAAGTCATGGGTTCCACGAAATTCACAAGAATTCCCAATTCTGCGTTTGTTCGTTCTGCATGTGCAACGGAAGCGCGTTAAGCGAATGTCAGTTAATCGTATCACGTAAGTAAATATCTATAATCGTTCCTACAACGTTTCTCCAATTAACCGAGTCTACGATCGTGTTAAAGTAACGAAAACATCGCGAATATTTTACATTTTAATCCTTTTGAATTTTCTAATGGAAATTATTTCCTGTATTGCTCGTGTTTTACTTAACCGTTCTTCGACTTTGCTCGTTTCTAGATCTTCGTAGACCGTACGCTTCGATTCTGCAAAACTTTCCCGAATTAAATAATTCATGCTTCAGCCACCTGTTCTTCTCTGAAACTCTGACATTTTCGATAGATTTCTCGCTCTCTTTCATCTTACGTTCCTTTCTCCCGTGTTTCTTCCTACTAAACTAAAGCGATACGCTCAACGTCAACGTCTCTCCGAAACGGTACTTCGTTGGAGCCGCTTTTAGAAAAGAAAAAAAGAAGAAAATGAGCATACCGAACGGAGGATCTTCGTCTCCGTTCAATTGCACGCCGATCAATTTCCAACAATAGTTTGTTAAACATTGACATTCCTACAGATAGCTGGAATTGCATCGTTCGTTTCGATCATTTGTCAGGTATGTGTTTAAACGTTTACACAGAGAACGAGATGGAACGTTTCAATGGCAGATTGTATTTTATTAAATGCACTACGATGGATGGAAGGAGAATTCGATGGCAGGAAAGTCGATTTACGAGTGTACCAGGGGCCCTTTGCGAGTCGGCAGATGGGCAGAGTGATCGAAGACCGGTTAAACGCCGTTTCTCTCCATATCCTGCTACTGGATTCCCTCGTGAGGATACAGCTGTGTGCGTGGATACGCGCGGACCAACGTGTGTGATCCAGTGACCCACTATATTCATCGGTGCTACGTGAGTTTATGACTAAAATTATGCGACCGTGCCATTCAATCATTTTCACGACCAACTGGAAACTTTTGCATTGCTTTGGGCATTTTCGTGCCATTTCTTTGGTCGCGTAACAACGACGAAGTCGCTGCAACGGATCTTTCCGTAAAAATCATAAATCTTCGAACTTGTGGCATTTCGATATTTTTTTTTTTTTAATACTTCGGTTCTGTTCCACGTGATCGTTTCTCTTTTTCTTTTTTCGTTTTCTTCTCTGTATTTATTTTTGAAATCATAGAAACATAATGCGAAGATATCTCGTTCCTCGATGTGATTTATCGATAATGAAAAAATATGTTAGGCAATTTCGAGTGTTTTGTCGGTTGAGCGAGCGATCGGAATAAAAGCGTAACAGGCATTGACGTTTTATAGCGATGTTTCAGCCGTTCGATATCTTTCAGCAATGTATTTGGAAAGAACTGGTGTTATTCAGGATTGAAGGTTCATTGCACTCGATAGGAAGCATTGATGAAAGGAGATCGAGGCTGGATGTTGGTTCAGACGTTTTATTTCCTGATTGTCGTTCGTTGCTCCTCGTATTCGTTTGCACGTGATAATGTGAGAATAAAGTAACGCACCTTCCAACACAGTATCGGTACGTATCGATTAATCATAAGAATAATGTTTCTTTTAATAAACAAATATTACGAATGAAATTGAAGAAGAGGGAATTGAGATAAAATTAGTTTATTAAATTACCAACGATAACAATAAGCGAATAATAAAAATCAAAGGATAACAATAACAACAAATATTTATTCAAACTCGATGGTTCACTTGCGAAACTGTATATACACCATAAAAGACTAATTAAAACAAGGCCAAGTCGTAGAGAGCGTAATAAAAATACTACGATGCCTATAACTACTAATTCTAACGAGTGTTAGGAGAAAAGGAAGGGAGAATAAAGTAGTTAATCGTATTATTATGGCCTCCTTCGCTGCATGAAAATCGGCATCAGCGTTACCCGAGCTACATTTGCATTTATACGCATAATGAATCGTTATAAACTTTCATACAGCACGCTCGCCTTCTTAACGATCGGCAATCGACGAAAACCAGATGCAACAGTCGTATTTATCACGGCGATCATGCGAAAAGAGCGAACATCGTACGGCTCATTGCCGATTCAACGCGTATCACAAGATAAAATCAACTACAAAGTACGTTAGCTCGACTGTTGTCCATAATTGTCCCACGTTCGCCGTTCCCTCATTTGCATGTCGGACAGCTTTCTTTTTTCTACGATGATTCCGTGAGGATTCGTCTTCGAATAACTTCGATCGAATCCATGAAATTTCTAGGTTTTCTTTTACGACGATAACGAGGCGAAAGCCGAAACTCAGACGAACACGCTCACACACGCGCCAACACACGTACGCATACATATTCGTATGTAGGTAAATTGTCTCTAGCTAACATTCCTCCTTCCTGGATCGGTCCTTCGGGAACAATTTTACGAATTTCCCTCGGCGATATTACGTACACCGAATTTCCTTGCACTCGCTATAGTTTTCAATCCCAACGCGAATGCCTGGCTTCTTTAGCATCTGTGATATCTTTCGAATCCATCGACGACCGGGTAGTACGAATAGGAGTAGACCACTGTAACAGAAAGTATCGGAAGGGAATTATAATTATATTTGCAAATTATAAAATATAAAAATAGTGTGCATCTGACTGTAGAAGGCGAACTGGAGAAAAAGCGATAGAACTATTCAGGATGACACAAGAGCCAGGTTCTCTGGATGCTGAGTATCGTATCACGCTGAGCTTGCGTAGGTCCGAGTAACGAAATGCGGAGTAGAATATGGACGATAAGGTAGACTATAGGTGACGCAAGATATACGTAGCTCGCGTCCAATTAGCTACTATACTTACAGCTGCTATTCATGACAATAATCGAATCTTTGCCTGGTGTATGTTCTTAGATATATCAGGAATTAAACAGGACACAGAAGACGTGGCGAAGTCTCGATAAGTCGCGAAAGAAAATTAGAAAAATCACCACGCCTACGATCGAACGACTGAGAACTCGCAGACTCCGGTCTCTCGTCAGCTGCTGCGACCCGGCACGAACAATCTCAGCAACGTCAGATCCTGGTGAGATGGCTTCGCGTGAAACTTCGCGTGCCCAGTAAACACACGATGGAAGATATTCACGAGGTATAACGCGATTCCAATTACCTGCGACTATTCTTCGGCTCTAGCCTCGTTGCAGTCTCATACGTTGCGCGATCTCGCTGACGGATCTTCTCCTCTGCGAGCTGCTTCTTCTTCGATACAAGCCATGAAGATTGAAATTAGCGTACGGCTGAAGCAATCCCTGATTTTGCCAATACGGCGACGAGACATGCGGATTCCACAGTGGTATCTTCAATGGTCCTTGCAGCGGATAAGAGTACGGCAGCAATGGCAAATTCTGCAAGTTCGTATGCGGCTGCAACTTGGGCAACTCCGCGGATATTTTAATCGACTCTATTTTCTGTGGGTCTGTGTCGATCGACAAGCTCGAGTACACGGACAGATCGTTGCCGTTGTTCGTACCTCCGTTTAAAATCTGCAAGTTGCCTTTATCTGGAAGAGAGTATTGAATGTGTATCGGTGGATATTCGACGCTCTGTTGAATAGACAGCGGACCAGAAGCAAGAGAAGCGTAGTCGAGTCCTTTAACGTGATCGTAGCCGGACAACGGCGGTACTGAATTTGAATTCACGTTGTGATCGTGTTGATTAAAATTTTGATAGCTGTTTGCATTTCCTAACACGGTGTTTTCGATGTCTTCGTGGGGCAGTTCCGGTGGTGGGCCGTAGTAATTGTCTTCCGAGTGTGCTACCGCAGGTTTTTCGGCGTCCACGTTCACTGTGTGGTGATCGTAACCGTAATCGTCCGGTTTCGTTGGTTTCACGATTAGAAGGCCCGCCTGGGCAACTGTAAATGTAACGTCTGTCAGTCTTGTCTGAACGATAATCCTTCGTTTCATGAAGTTATGATAAATTCGTTAGATTCTTATCGACAAACCGTCGAATATTAGATACGCTCAACCACGTTCCATTGTATTAATAATCGCTACTTTTAAGCGTTAACAAGTACCTTTTCCTTTATCGATAAACGTTCGTTTTCTTTTAATCGAAATTCATGAAACGAAAAGTTAATCCGTTTAGTTGTTACCATGTAGCCGATCGTATGTACAAGTGTATTAGTAGGCACACTTTCTGTACAACTTTATCGATTTATAAGCTCGATCACTTTGTGTAAATCATTCTATCGACGTATTAAATCGTCAGTCAACGAATAAATTCGCAAATCTCGATTAGTCCTGCGACGTTACACCTACATACAATCCTGCTAGTTACATACACACACACACACACACACGGTAGAACAGCCTAACCATGAAAAGCATAATTTTGCTCGCATGACTTCATGACACTTGAAATAAAGTCCAGATATGCCAGATAGTTTTGGTCTTCCCATGCTAGAAAATGACTAGAAAGCGTAAATTACAAAGAGCTAGTACCGTTTAGAAATGGATGAAACAGAAACCGGTGAGAATACAGTACCCTATTATAATATTCCAGGATTAATACAACTTGTTTAAATACAAACTGGCAAACCTGTTTCGCACAAGCATCCTATCGAAAGGATCGATGATCTTGTTGGGAGAAAGTCGTGTTAACGGTGTGGTATATCGAAAGGTTCAGAGCGAAAGTAGATTAACTTGGAATTTTGAAGATCACCGAAGAAAGAATCGTTCTCACGGAAGAGGCTAATTATTACGGGTGTCTCAAAGAGACCGTAGTCGTAGAAACGTGACACGTAGTAAAGAAGCGCGTTACGATTGAGGAAGAATTCACAGTGGTGGGACCTGTGTTTAAAGCGCCGAGTATGTACAGGGTGTTCCCGATTTAAATGTCAAGCTTTCGCGTATCGATAAACTAGCAAAGAGGAAGCAAAAATACTTTCGTTCTTTCGTTTATTTATTTGCTTATTCGCGTATAATAATTTTGAAACGGAAAACTTCTTCGTTTCTTTGTCGAGATTTTGTCAAAAAAAAAAAAAAAAAAAGGACGAATTATTACGGGTGTCTCAAAGAGACCGTAGTCGTAGAAACGTGACACGTAGTAAAGAAGCGCGTTACGATTGAGGAAGAATTCACAGTGGTGGGACCTGTGTTTAAAGCGCCGAGTATGTACAGGGTGTTCCCGATTTAAATGTCAAGCTTTCGCGTATCGATAAACTAGCAAAGAGGAAGCAAAAATACTTTCGTTCTTTCGTTTATTTATTTGCTTATTCGCGTATAATAATTTTGAAACGGAAAACTTCTTCGTTTCTTTGTCGAGATTTTGTCAAAAAAAAAAAAAAAAAAGGACGGAGCAAAAACGAGCAAGTGTCGAATCGAATCGATAAAATTGAAATTGTGAACACCCTGTATAACGAACGGCTGCGGAATTCAACATACCACTACGGGAATTCTTCCGCAGCCCATCTCTCTTCTTCGCTTTCCTCGTGCTCGTACACGGAGGAAAGTTCCGCAGATTAGGATCTCATTTGAAAGCGAAGATCGCTCTTACTTTCTTTATTCCAAAACGCGTAACAGTGTTCTCCAGAGATTCTACGCCTCTCACCGAATTCTTTTTACAAGCATACAGGAACACCCTTACATATATAACGTACGTGTGTATATACATGGAGCGCATCATACGTTCGAATCAAGAATATAAGCGAATATTTCGAGTTAACGAGTTAACGTTGCTATGTGGAATCGCAAATTGCATTACGATCAAATGCAATGCCTTTGCAAATGGAACTTTAGAAAAGTAAGAGGTTATTAGCGTATTAGTATCGATGCTGCGGTGTTAATAACGTGTTTCAATGATCGTTATTCACATCGAGAAACCTTACCATCCGAGGATGAGTCATAATTTCCGTTTTCCTGATACTCGTCATGAGGTTCGCCATATTCCTCGATACTGGGCGGTGGTCCGTCGTAACTTTCTTCGTGACCTGTTCCGTTTCATTCCACTTTTAATTTCCAATTATCCTTAAGCTGACGTGTATATCAAATGAAAGTAATTTCACGACTTGTGACAGCGAACTGCTCCGTAAATTATATATGCTAGATATACAGGGTGGTTGGTAACTGGTGGTACAAGCGGAAAGGGGGTGATTCTACGAAAATGTAGAATATAGAAATATAGAATAAAAATTTTTCGTTCGAGGCTTTGTTTTCGAGAAAATCGACTTTGAATTTTCACACTTTATCGCGTCTCGTTATAACGGATCTCACTGTAGATCGTTGTCTGGATGGAAAAATTAAGAAAAATTTTTACTCTATATTTTCGACTTCTTTTTTCACGTAGAATCACCCCCTTTCCGCGTACCACCAGTTACCAACCACCCTCTATATAGAAAAAAGAGCAAGTTTAACACTTTGACTGTCACGTTGGTCATTGGTGACCGGAGCGCTTGAACTTCTTGCAATTGTAAAAATTGTATGAAAATTGACAGTTAGGGCATTTTGAATATAACTAAACTGTATATCGTAAGTCAGGGACAGACAGAAAATTATTCGTTATCTGTGTGTTATTGATCATCAAGTTACCAACACGAGAATGTTACGCGTTAAGCGATGAGAGTTGAAATTAGAGAAACACTCACCACCTTCCGGAGGATGATCGTACAAGTATGCGGGATGAGGCTGAGGAGGATGCACGGCGCTCTTGACGATATTACGACCCAAGGTCGTGATAGCATCCCCGGTTTTAGTGATAATTTTGCTCTTGGCCGCGACAAGGTAAGCGCCCCCTTTCAGTAGCTGACCTTTCAAAGCAATCACACCGCCACTTACGGCTTTTACGGCTTGCATTAACGTGGTAATGATCGCCTTTTTGAAGTCCCACATGTCGAACGCCTTATCGTTGTACTATCATAGAAAAATTCCATTAACAAGGCACGTGTTGCGCAAATTAATCTGTACTTTATTCAGTATTATATATTGCACGATACAGCTGGGATTATTATAAGAATGCCTCTATATTAATATTAATATAAGAACTATAACTAACGCGAACTATCTGTGTCACATTTTTCACACAACCGGTGTTCCTTGTTCCATGTTCTATTTAATATATAAAAAATGCGCGCTGCAACATTTTCAAATTACAATTCGACGTTCTTTGGAGATTCGGACGATTTCTTTAATCGTTGCTTCTATGTTGCAAATCAAACTCAATCACGACAGGTTCGAACGATCGGCGATGACATGTTACGGTCGACCTGTTTCACTCAACGTCGATTACACGAACATCGTAATTTCACGATGGAAATTGCAAATTTCTATGCGGCTTGGTACTCGCGAATCGACTAATTGTGAAACGGTGTTGCGCTCGTTTGTAACAAACTTTTGTAGATCGTATAAAAAGAATGAAAGTTTCACGATATCCATTATACACTTGGAAGAATTTCATTCGACAACGATTCGTAATTGACACGTTTCCTATTTCCATCGTGAAATTCTTTCAGCGTGAAATATTTTCTACGATTAGCTAAGGGGCGTGCTAAGACAAGAGCCAGCTAAAGATTTCCCTCCTTAATTGCAACCTGAACGACCCACATAATGATTCCTTTTTCGTGCAGCTAATGTACCGATATAATCGTTTGTACTAATGTTTCTACATCTGTCATTCTATTCTACTTCGTTTTCGCCAAAAAACGACTGAGCGTTCGATCATAGCTCACGGGTTCGTTTAAAGAAAGCTCCATAGATTTCGGAATTTCTTTCCTTCTTTTTTTCGTCGAATCAAACCGTTGTCATATCGAAACACAAACGAACTTTCTACGCAGATGAATTCACTTTCACCTGAAGCTAATTACGTAAAATTCGCTATAAAGGCAACGAAGGCCTTCATAATCTCGTTTCCAAATACCAGCATTGCTGATATCCGCTCGTTCCGTTATGCGCATACATCAACTTCCGCCAGCGTGTAATTCGTTTGGAATTTTTCACGAACGAAGCATTTCCTCCGATATAGAACTGAAAACTTCATTTTCATTGCCCGCCAATGTGTGGCAATCGACACCGATCCATCTCATAGAAAATTAATCGCGATCGCGTATCTCAATCGAACCCGCTCGTTTTAATTTTAACTTGCCAATGTCTATATAGTTACCGAGTAAACTTGTCCATATTCTGGTTTCGGCTTTGGTTTATCGTCGCTCGACGACGAACTCGACTGGGCACTCGTCTGGGAACTCTGCGCCGAGATCGAGGAAGATCCTTTCGAAGCGCTGCTGGACGCGCTCACGAGGCCACTGATTATACCTTTGGCTATGCCACCGATCAGGCTGCCAGATCCTTTTAGAATCGATCCAGAATCAGATCCAGACGATTCTGAATTTCCTTCGTCGTGCTCTCCGTATGTATTATGCCCGTATCCTGTGTACTCGTGCGTGTATCCGTCTGGTGGCGATTCGTATCCATCACGATCGTATATCTCGCGTTTTGATCCTGATCGCTTTATCCTATCTTGCATGAACGCCACGTATTTCTGGTTTGCCAGCATCTCGATCATAGCTCGATTCCCGCCAACACGATCTATCACGTCTCTCTGTAGATTTTCTGGAAGAAGTCGATAGATCTCCAAGATTTGTTGGTCGCTGAGTTTGTTAATTGCCGGATCGTTGGCCGCATTTTCCAGCATCTGCCACTGTTCGTCCATTGTCCCTTGGTCTGTCGATGTTCTTCGATAGGGGGCTAATCGCTCGAGCTGCGCTGATGCACGTGCTCGCAACGCTTTTTCGTTCGAGGCTGTGCTTTCCGATAGAACGACGACGATCGAACAGCCGAGAGCGAACAGCCACAGTAACTGAAATTCATTGGAACGTGATTATCGATATTGTTTTATCGTTTTTAACTCATTCGAAGCCGATGGCCATTCGAGTCGATCGTTTATGCCGATACATTGCCATAAGCATTTGCGCACTACCGTATTTAGGAAACAAGTTTCGAATGAGTTAAAAGACAATTAGAACGCACGAAGGGTATTTAGGATTGCACTTGCTGTACTTGTTCGAAGATATTTCGACGGTATATTGGATCAATGGTATATGCAATGCCTAACAGGGCATCGCAGCGTAACATGTTAGTAAGTTTATAAATCAGTGAAACATGTAGCATTGGAACGTGAATGCGACAAGTAGAGCGGCTCTTGGTGAAAGTCATACGAAGACGCGTGTCTTAGACATATGTATATGTATGTGATTGCAGCGACGATCAACGATCTTGACGGAATTACTGGTTTCGCAAACTGTATCGAGAGAAAAAGAAACTAAGAAATTGACGACGAGTGTTGTCAATCAAATGCATGAAAAACCTCGATACAGATCGAAAGTCGATCTTCGATCGTCTGTCTATTCCAGAAGTTTCAATCTAAAAGTTCCAATCGAGCTTCGCGCCTCTCGAATTTTTACCAAGTTTCACAGTAATTGTTTTCTTAATAGCCCATGCTCTGATTTTTTAGAAAATGGCCTAAAGATTTTTCAAGAATTTTTCTCTCTTATATTTCGAATAAAATAAGATAAATAGTCCCGTACGATCATAAATTGCAAGCAAAACGAACTCGCGCTCGTTGCAGAGATTCAGTAGAAATCTCCAGCGATCTACATTCCTCATTCGCTTGCGAAAATCGAATAAACAAATGCTCGACTGCTACTTGAAAATAAAAATTCCAGTTTGCAGAATCATTCTCGTCTACGTTCGACTGCACCATCCTTTTCTTCGACAAATAACGTTGCAAGTTTCGCTAAAAGTCGTAGAAACATCGACTCGCGTTTCAAACTCACGTTTTCCTCCGAAATAAATTCTTTAGCCCATTAAGAAGAACCGGTGTTTTAAACATTTCAATCGAGCCACGAATCCAATGGAAATAGATTTTTTTACAATTCTGTAACGACTCGTACCGAAGTGATAAATCCGGAGAAACACCGTGAAACTTATTTCCGTATTTTTGGCCTAACCACTCGAGGGGAATGTGAATTATCTCAGCCGGACGAAAGTGATCAAGGTGTCCTTGTCCTTGCACTCGGTGGTGCCAACGTTTGACCTAGTTACCATACGCTCCAGGTTGCATTACTCTCGACACGATTTCTAAAAAGCGTCTAGCGAGCCGGCGTATCATAAAAACGTCACCCTGGGCACCAAGATCCGATTCCTTGGAAAGAAAGGTACCTGTCCGGTCGAAGAATCTGCATATCGCGAAAATCATTTCCTGTTATACCTGTTATATCGATAGAAAGGAATACTTCGCCACGATCTTTCGTCATCGATTTTAACTTTCTTCGCACTGTGGCGATGGACCCACTCGTATCGCATGGGATCCGCCATAACTTTCATATTTTTGTTATTTTTATTTTCAAACTGAACGCTTAAGGACTTTTTTATGTTCGTTTGTTGAACAGCGAGAAACGTTTTCTTCGTTGAAAGAAAGTTCGTGAAGTGTCGTTTATGGAATGGAAAATTTGAGGCGGAAAAATCGTATGTACGAAAAATCGAACGGAACAATTTCGCAGAAAGGATAATACGAAGAAAAACGCAAGAGGATATTTCGTATTGTGTTGAGAGAGATAGTTTTAGTTATCAAACGAATAAACGCGATTTCTCACGGGTAAGCGACCGCTTGTTAATGACAATGATCGTCGCGTTTCTTCACACTTTTACCTTCTAAACATCGCGAGATCGAACGCGCGGGAACAAAATGCAATTTTCTACGTTGCCGTGTGTGCATCTCGGGAAGAACGTATCCGTGAATAGGAACAAATATCCTTTACTTTCACATGGATTTTAATCGCAATGCCTCGACCCTCGACCGCGCCACAGGAAGCGAAACCGCAAAGAGATCGCCTTATAGAACGATCTTATAAATGGAATTTCAGACTGGAGTAACATCGATCTTATCAAGAGGAAATTTTAAGAACAATGCAAGTCCATTGGGTTCGGAGTCCCGGACTCATTGGAGCATAAACAGTATTCATAAGTATAACTAGTCCTTCTTTAAACGACTTTTCGTTCACGTAATGATAGAAGTTCAACGTCCAGATAATCGGATTCAATCGGCAGGAGAACATATTTAATTCAGGCATTGATTAAGATTTCTTTGCTAAAGTAGAATTCGAATAAATGGAATTTGCCCGTGGTGAATTTTGAAATTGATAAGTATAATTAATTCGCACAAATGTAAATTCTATTTCAGGATTTCTGAGGTCTTCTTCTCGACAAGGTCGGTACGGGCCAGTTAATCGGTTCGAACAAGAAAGACAAGAGTAAGATTTCGATAGGAAAATGAGCACTTCACATATGAACCGAAAGAAATTCGGTGCACAATGATCTTGAGACGCGTACCTTCATCGTTGACTTTCACGGTAGATCGGTAAAAGGATCACGGCACTCTCACTGAACTCACTGGCCATCGCCATCGAGTATTTCCTCTCTTTATACCGACTCCCACCTTGTTAGCTTTTACAGGAGAGCGTTGCCCACCACGAGAATGTTTTTCCTTTTTCCAAAATTTGGAAGCGAATCTCTTTTCCTTTCGTTTGTAAGAAGGTTAAGCCGATTCATCGAGATCCGCAGATCCGTATCTGGTGAAATTTTCTAATCCTCAGACATCAATTTTCCATTAAATTCTTGCTTCCATTGTTCTCGTTAATGCTGCAACTATTTCCATTATCTCTATGATTTGCGTTAATAGCAGCGGTAACAAGTATAATATCAGTATTTATGTAAATTCAGTTCTAAATATATTGCATAGCAAAGGGTAAATACGAAGCTTCGTCTTATAAAATGATTATCTTTCCAAAATTAAGATGTTGTTCGGCTTTATTTAGAAACTGAGAATTAGAATTAGAACTGCTACAGATACTGCTAATTATCAATTATTCTATAGAGTTTCCATCGAATAGGATTATTCTATTTAAAGCTATTCGTCGTGTCTGCGCCTCGTCGTCATCCTGTGTCTTCTGCGAGTTTGCCGTGCACTTTGGAAATTTGCCAATCGTGTCAATGGTTTACTTTCTTCCGTTGCACCCAGACGAGAGACGATGCGTCCAAAATTCATAGCCTATCATGCACGCTGTATTATGCTGAAATACGATTCGGGAAGCGTAACGGGGAACCTTGAAGGAGAGGAAGAAGCGAACGCGCGTTCCTTTTCCTATTCAAGTTCGCCAGTCGAAGCACGCTAATGAAAGCGATTTCAGTGAAATGCAGGTACATCCCTCGGAATAATGAATAGCGCGATTTTCATCGGGCCGCTCATTGGTTTTCATATTTTCCCTGTTCCTGCTTCGCTCTACGTGAACAACATAATCGGCTACTTAAGCAATGACGTAACTAGAACCTCGTTAAGCTTACGTTGATACGCATTCGATGGGAAACTCGACGATGAAGAATAGAAAAGAATAGAAAATGATTTATATTTTAATGACATTTAATACTACGCGACGTAGCAGGATATATAGAAATCTCCAAACGATAAAATTAAAAGGGAATTTTCAACTACGTAATAGCTATACAGATAATTGTAATAATAAATATCTATGCATAGAAGAAATTTATATGATATGGTATAAAGAATTATCGATTTCTAGTCTAATGCACCGAGTTGAACTCCGAACTGAATATGCCGAATAGAAAGCAAAGCAAATCGGCGGAATTCTACCATTATTTGTATCCGGTTACACGTATAGGTATTCACGATGAATGGTTATTCTTACGCAGTCGAAACACGAAAGTCATCTAATTCATGGCAAGGTAATTCTCATGATTATATCGATCGACACAATTTGTTGCGCGTAATACGTTCTCGTGAATTTCTTTATTTTCTGAATTAATTTCACCAATAATTATCCTACCGTGATACCTATATTTTCTGTGTCACGTTTACGCACGGCTCGGTTACTTTGAATTATTATTAACAATTATGACGAACGAATCGACTTTTATATATCTACAGCCACGTACAAATTAAAATGGTCGTGTCTCTTTACGTAAGTACATGGTATGAGACAATTAGATAGAAGCACCGCGAGATAATGTCACGAGAGGAAACGATCTATCCTGAAGTGAGAGAAATCGTTGTACGTTGATGCGGCGGTATAAATATGAGGCGAGACGAAGAAGAATAAAAAAGGCTCGTGAAAGGTGAAGCGTTAGACTAGAATGTTCGCTAATGATAAAAATAGAGGTTCCAGTGAAATTATAATGTGTGCCGAATATGAGCATTAACCAGACAGAAAGTAGAATAAAATAAAAAATAGTTGCATCTGTCAATGTAGAAAGCTAAACATGTTGCTATGCAATCTGTGTTGATAAGTGGAGCTCCGCATCTCGTAAACGATTGATAAAATATTTTTGCACTTTGATCGATACGCTCTTGAGATTCTAATGTCTCGTGATGTTAGAAAAAGGCAAAATAAAATAAATATGACTTAACGTAGCCATACAGGTCGCATAAAGGCAATTTTATTGAATCGAGTAAGACGAGTATTTACTATAAGTGATCGCACTGGCTATTAATGCATCGTGTTTCGTTTATTAAAGTACATTACACGTGTTTTGTAATAAGAGAATGCAATATAAGTATAGGATGTATATCCATAATATTCATACTTGATATCACGTTTAACGTGGCATCCATTTGCCCTCATCATTTTAATCTCCTATGAGAATTAAATGAATGTAAAAATTTGTCAACTTTGAATTCGACGTGACAGCAACAATTTACTGGGAATGCAAAGTAATCGTTGGTTATCGTGCTATTGTCCGTCAATGACAAGAGTTGGCGATATATGAACTTCTGTTTGCACTTTGTATAGTATCCTTCGGCGAAACCATCGATCACTTTGCATGGTTGGCTCTCCTCCCTATTATTAAATTAAATTGAAATTTCAGAATAAATTTTGTTATCTTCGTACTTATCGTAAACCGAACAGAACAGAAACTGACATAAAATGATACTTACAGGCATGTCTCGATGCGTACAGCTTGCACCAAGTCTTCATGGTTTACGATATACTTCCATTCCAAATTTTTCGTTACTCCTAATTTAGGAAATACAAGTTGCTCCTACGGTAACCAAGAAAATCTTGATTTCAACATAATTATATCAATAACATTACATTATTGAAATATCGATCAAGTCGTTAATTTACCGTAGACAAGCAAAGTGGTTTGTCCTCCAGTTCATTCTCGTATCCTGGTAACGAATCTACCTGTTAAACAAAAAAAAAAAAAAAAAAGGCTACATATGAAAGCGTGTGAATACCAATTAAAAAATGTACCATTATCGTAATTAGCTAAAACTAAACTGCCAGCACGCTGAGTCGAGGCATAGTGTGAATTGCTTGTAATGTGCGAAGTTTATCGGAAATGAGGTTCTTTTTGAACATTACTATAGAGCATTTTATTATTCGATAGTACGGAACAAGGTGTGGCAGCTTGGAGAAAGCATGTAGATTTTGGGTGCGTGAAGGGGAAAACTATCATTTATTATAGCAGTGAAGGGACATTTAAAAACTGGAAGGTTTGCAGAAAAATTGGCACAAAAAGTCTGGGCGTGGAAGAAACACGGAAGGGAAAGCGGAAATTGTCGAATGGCCAAAAAGGATAGAAAAAGATAGAATTGGAGAAGAAACGAGCAAAGGGGGCAATGTGCAAAGCGTGAAATGCAAATAGTAGTCAGTGAAATAGTTCAAGGTAATTTTAAGGAACAAGAGTGCCTTACAGCAAACCAAAGACAGTTCTAGAATAGGAACATTCGATGCATCGCTAAAGAAATAATTACGTAAGACAGATTCGGTAACAGTGTGCGATGAAGATAACGTACACCTTGTAATACATACGTGTACATGCATATATGTAACCAAGTGCAATTTCTATGCTAATAAGCTGAAATGAATAGTAGTTTATTAACCACTACCAGATACGATTATTCGATGGTAATATGAAAAGACGAAAAAAGTCGAAGAATTGCATGTATCCCGTGTCATAATATCCAATTACTAAGACAATGAATCCGATCGTGAAATTTACGAACATTATCCACGGTAGCATAATCTCGAAGATGGGGATTCTTTCTTAATTCCCTCGACACTATATCGGTTGGATAATACAATGTATTTTCGCAATAGGTTTTATCCTTGCAAATCGGAGTCGGTTTGTACACTGAAACATAGCTTCGTTAAAAAATGCTTTCGGGAAAGATATTTATTTCGAATATGTAGTTTAAGTATATTACGTTGCGGATTGTCACTTTGTGTCGTCTCGTATGTAGGAGAGGTCATTGAGAGAGGAAGTATAAGCTGTAAAAGGTTTTAAGTAATTATAATTTCCACAAAATAGCAGTTAAATAAAAAGAGACGATTCTACATTATCGTGTACATTAACGACGCGATGATATTCAGAATATGAATATCATCGTTTAATCGTTCCTATGATTTTCTGTATCTGATAAGGAAATTATCGAAGAACCGAAGATATTATAGCGGTTCGGAAGAGTTTTAAATAAACTGAAATGATAAATTCTGACGTCTAATCTTATCTACGAATTTTGTAAATATGTACTTAATTTATTGAGCGAGATTCTTTGTTCGCTTTATAGTTTCGATATTTGGTAATTATTATGAATATCATGGTAGAAGATCAGATTAATACTATTAGATTGAAGATATTTCCTTCGGAAGAACGTTTCAAAAAAATTATAATGATCTCACCAGTAAGAATCCAATTCGGTTTAGTAACATCTTCGAACAAAAAGGCGATTTAGAATTTTCGCACTAATAAATAATGAGAACTTTCTTTTACTAAATAAGCAAATAAACTAAAAATTCAACTGGAAGCATACGGAAAACGTTTCCTTCTTTTAATGTTTCTTTCGGCTTTGGTGACGACTTGGCTTTGTTCTATTTTTGAAAATTATAGATGTACTTCAGAATCGCTATCTGTGGTTTGAGTTAATTTTTCTAAAGAAATACATTTGCTTTCGTGGCTTTTCAACAACTGATCTCATACTCACAGTTTTATATCAATATCCACGAGGAAAATAAGATTACGATCACTTTGTATACTTTATTTATTTTTTCTATTATACTTTCAATGATTTAACTAATAGATTAATAAATCAGTTAATAAATTAACAGTGTTTATTATCTCAAAATAATTAATTTTATAATTTTACATTAGAATCTGTAAATAAACGTTACAGTTGCCACTATATATTTCCGACAACTTTGTGACAAATTTTCAATGTGTAATTATGGCAATAATTTTATTATTTTAAATATTCATAAAAAGAAATATGTGGATATAAGAAATATAATAACAATATATTAAACAATTTTTGTCAATTATTCATAAAAGGAATCAATATACAGAGTGAATCAACTAACAGTTTAAATCAAGATATCGGCTGTATTGTATATTATAAATGATGTTATTAGTTTTCTTATAGATGGATACGTAAAGGTAATGTGTAGGTCAACTTAATTTTTTTAAATGGGTTTGATGACATTTTTTTAAATGGAATTATATTTTGTAATACACTAATACAGCTTGAGATTCTCTATAAAAATCATTTGTCACGTCCCGCGCTGCGCACGCGCCGTAACGTAGACTAAAACTACCAATAGCGCGAGTGAGCGTTCCAATTTGAAATTTAAATAAATTTTAACAATTTATATAGAAATCAAATTCGAGCCTCACAACCCCCACGGAATAACCCGTCACATGACGACCCCTCCACGGTAGACCTAAATATAAATAAGCGTAGCGACATAGAAGAAAGAGAAATGACTCCTTAGTTCAGAGTAGTTAATTCCTCAGTTTTGTGTGATTAGTTCCTCAGTTCCGGGTGATTAATTCCTTGGTTCTTGGCGATCAGTTCCCCATTTCTTGGTAAGTAATTTCTTTGTTCATAGCGATTAATTCTCAACTCCTTTAGCTCTTAATTTCTCAGTTCCTTTGCCTTTTAATTCTTTAGTTCTTTAGTTTTTTCAGCTCTTAGTTCCTTTAGCTCTTGGTTTTGCTCTCAGTTTTTAAGTTCTTTAGTCCTGTAGTTCTTTATCTTTTAGTTCTTTGTTTCATTAGTTCCCAGTTCTTGTTAGTCTTGTTAATCGACGTGTTTGTATTTGTCAATTTGTAAATTATTGAAAATCTATCAAATTAAAATCTTGTAATTAATAAGAGTGAAAACGTATTGCGAACGATTGTAACTTCGAGTATTCGAAATTTCAACGACGATTCTGTCAATATCCAATTAGAATACGAATAAACATTTTTTTTGTGAAGAATATTTGTCTAATAATATAATAGGATTAAGCGAACATTTATTTTCACCAACTTTAATCCTCTCCCGTGCCAGTACTCCTGCGTGGAGCAGATTAGCCGAAACGTGGAGTTTAATTGCCAATCGCATTAAACGACAGACAACACTACAATTTAATCTGAATTCAAAAATTAACGGCAACACAACCAAAACGAGCCAAACAAAACGTAACACATTGATCTACTTGTGTCGAAAAACTACTGGTTTAGTAGATATTTCGATTTCAACTTGTAAAACTTATCGTACGATAAACAAGGAGAGACGTAAGACACAGACAAGATCCAGTGCATAGATTAATGTACTAAAGGATATATAATTTCATTTAACAAAAATTTCAACGAAGTTAACCTCCTCATGACCTTCATGCGCCCACCTACAAAAAAACTAACATTAAAACACGCTCCCTTTGAATCCATTAAACTTTTACCTGAAACATTTTCCGATATAATTAATAATATTGAAAATATTTCAGCTTAAACCCTTAGGTTTAAACTGACTCACCCTGTATATAAAAATGTATGCAATAAAATAACTAACATTAACAAAGATTAAAATACTTTATTTATATGTATTGTACGCACATTCAAATACATAGTACGAAGCGCCAGGCATTACCAATGAAAAGGAGATTTGGTAAGGAAATTTAAATAAATGAAAAGAATATTTTTAAGATAATTTCCAAACTACAAATTCTAATTAACGTTAGTATCTGTAATCATTAAGGATGTATTTTATTAAATAAATTTTGTTTTCTCTCTTTTGTACTACCTGTACTAACTGTTATAAGAAAATTACTAGCCGCTGCTATATTTCCTTAAATGTCCCTATTTACGCTAAGCTAGGTACACTAGTGTGAAGTAAACTGCAGTTACTGTCGTTAAAGTGCTTCAGTTCGCTCGATTTCGCATTGCGTCCAAAGAAAATCAGAAAAATGTCGAAGAGGAATCCAGGGGACGAATATAGAAAAGGTTTTATTCATTTTATTTATAATCGTATCAGTCGCATTTGGTAAAATAACATTTACTTCGTACCTTGCAGAAAATGGATAGTGTTCTAGTCTTGATTTGTTTTCGTTATTGATTTCAAGCCCACAATCTTTAATTATGGAAACGCCAAATTCTAAATATGTAATTTAGAAAATCTATTACGAAGCAGTTTTAGAACAAAACTAGACGTGCAAATCGTACTTTTATTTTCTAAATCTCATTTCTTACTTTTCATGTATCGTTTTTGGGTGCACGCATCCTACAACCATGTGCCAAAGGATGCTTCACAATAATAAAAACGGATTGAATGTTAACCTTATGTAATAAGATTATCAAGTAAATATACATATATCGTATATCGTATTGTTATAAATAACTTTAGGACATGTATGTTACATACACACTTGTTTCTTCTTCATCATCATTTATTGATTTCATTTGTTTTTAAATTTTATTCGGAATTACAAGAAACTTGTGCTAAGCATGCCGCTTAGATATTTCCGGTTAAAAGATACAATGTTGTTTAACTTGATCTGAACTTTGCCAGTGTTTGACGTTGTCAGGGTCAAGTGTGTACAGAGCAGAGGACTCCAGGGGAGATGACAGAGGAAGGGATCGTTCACCGATTAGATCAGATGACCGGTGTGAGGCTGGTAATTACAATCAAAGTGATGCCAAGAAACAGAAGCTGGCATTTGGATTTGGGAAGAAAAGTGGAACAGAACAAAAGAAGGGTATTCAGATAAAGCTAGGCTCTACATCAGTAAGTAGTAATGTATAAATTGACGGAAGCATATATATATTTGTTCTTATGAGAACTGTATTTTAGAAACCCACTGTAAAGGCAACACCAATCCAGAGGCCAACAGTAGCTTCTGTATTCAATGCAGATGAAGAAGATGAACCTGAAGAAATGCCAGCAGAAGCAAGGATGAGGATGAGAAATATTGGAAGAGAAACACCAACCTCTGCTGGTCCAAATTCATTTGGGAAAACAAAGCAAGGATTTTGCGATTCCAAAAAAATATTTGAAAAGACGCTCAAAAAAGCAATGGAGGAAGCAAATAAATGATTCCTCCCTTGATGTACTGGGCAATTATTGTTAATTGTATATTAATTTTACAAAAATGCAACAATAGTGGAATTCTTGCTACAGTTCTATGCAAAATATTTTTATCAATTTTATGCATTATTAGCAGGCACTAGATATGAAGTTCCACTTCATATTTAACATCACATTTTGGAAAATAAACATTAGGTACTGTTTAGTATTAACTATGTTAAGACTGCACTTAAAAGTGTATTTCTTTGTGTATCTTATGTGGGACTATGCAAATACATTTGACTTGTGTAATTTTTACATTGTGCATTACTATTATAATAATTTTGAATCATGTAATAAGAAATTTTTAAAGTGACTTGTTTAGGAATGATAGGAGGTTTAAGATAATTTATCTTGTAACTTGTAGAATAAATGATATAAATAAAAAACAGTTAATATCGATTTTATACTTTATTTTATTTAAAATTTACATAGTAATTTATTTCCTGTTTTGTTGGCCTTGACGCAGATCCTAAACAGAACAAAGATATGATAAAATGAATGTATATCAAAAAAATTGATGAAATTAATAATATGCATAACTATGTAATTTAATAATAATTACCCTAGGGAAGTTACGAACTGGAGGTGTCCTAATACGACGATTTGCCTTTGATCTGTTGCGAACTACTTTGGAGTGAATAGCACAAGAAACGCAATAGTGCAACTTGGCATACAACTTTGGAAGTTGATATGCAGAGTAAAAGCTTGCTTCTGTGATATCTCTCACGGCAGCTGCTTCTACGATATTACGAATAACAAATTTTTTAATTGCTTTATCTTTTGGTACACAGCGTGCACAATTAGTACAACGGACAGGGTTTACATGGCCACGGCCATGCTTGGCACGTCCACCATTCCTGCGTTTGCAAGTCTGAAAATAGAAAAGTGAAATATACAACAATAACAGTGATATGGAATATTGATGCTTACTAACGTGGATAAATAATTGTTAATTATGTTTATAACTTTTTCTTCTAAAGTTTAAAATTATTAGTACTACACATGGAGGTTATGTATAAAATATAAACATACAAATATTCCTAACATGTAATACTCAAAATACAAATATTAGATTTCAGTGCATTTTATTCTTAGTATTGAAAAAATTATAGTTTATTTAAAAATGGTATTCTACGAATATACACAATATGAAAACCACATGGTCAACAATCATTCTACACTTTCATATTTCACGAATACATCACCGTTAATACTCATTATATTATGTAAAACTGCGTCTTACGCACTAGTTTTTTTATTAATATTATATATTAAACAAATACACTATGCACAATATCGCAAATTAAAAGAATTATACACGATAAATAAAAAATACTTACCATTTTCTTCCGTCACTTGTTGGAGAAAGATCGGAAACAATGTATAATGACGTTAAATGAAGTTGGCAAGTCAAATCAATGTACTTCCGTTCACGTTAAGTTGGCATTCAGTTTCAGATCGCGTTTGAATCGTAATACTCGCGCGCTTTGAATTTTTATTAATTTAATGCTATTTGTTTGTTTAATGTTAAGTGTTAATGCATGTGTGACGTTTATCAAATGAAATATATCACAGGGAAGGAATTAAGGTAATATAATA